CAGATTAGGCTTCTGATTTTCCCCCTCTTGGGCTCTGCAGAATCAGACCCATTCTGTATAGAGCCCCTACTCTAACACAATCACATTTAAATCATACTGCGCACCTACAGAGTTTCAGCAGATGTGTTGGTATTAAGTTATTAATAACTAATTGGGTGCTAACTACGTGCCCTGGAGTTCTTGGAGCTGATAAAGAGGTGTCACCTACTGTGCCAGGCCTCTGTTCAGCTCTGGAAAATCATTTGTGGCAGCTGTGCCGAAGACCACGTTTGAGCGTTAGGTTTCAACATTGTCTCCCACAAGTCTTGGCTTTATTTTTTGCATTGTGAGACCTTTCTGTGAAAGCGATGTGACTTGCTGTAAGTAGAAATCCCATGTACTATTTCCAAAGAAGGGCGTGGCCAATATTTGACCATAGGTTTTCATCTGTGAGGGGGTAGAACTAAGTGAACTGTGTTATTCAGGGAGGAAATAAACGCTGCTGAAGGGAATTCAAAGGCGGCTCTAAAGCCCAGTGGGTTTTTGGGAAGTGACTGTTTCTGATGGGCCTTTCACTTGGGTCTTACAAGATTTAGCTTTAGCACTAAGGATATGCTTCCCCCTCTCATACCCCCAATTGTTCAAACTCTACCCCAGTTGGTAATATTTGGGCCTTCTTTAACTGTAAGAAATCTTGGAGGTGGAAATCCTGGATGCAAGTCAGCATGCCAGGAATGATCCATGATACCCAGGATTTATGGAACTATATAAAATCAAAAGAGATATTTTGAATGAGATAATGATTGAAAATTTCCCCCCTTTATCTCTTATTACTTTTAAGCTTTAGATTGCTGGAACTTTCTGCCTCCTGCTTTGAACAGGCAAGATACTCATTTGTCTTCAAGTCAATTCACGGAGAGAAGGTGGTGCTGCTTTATGGTTGACAGAATCCATTTTCTCCTAGGAAGTTGTTAGAACATTAGGGCTGCCTGGTTTGCTTTGTCTTTTAAAATTAGCTTCATAAATGCACACAATTGAAGAGGATCCTGAGCTTGAGTATTTCATTTCCTCTATCAAACTAAGAGCATTTAAAAAAATCGAAGCATTTCCAGACCAGGCATAAAAATATAGTATCAACGATATAAGGGAAAACCGAAGATGAAAATAAATAAATAGAAGCCCAGGCTTAGCAAATATTGACAACGATTAACACCTCTTTTTGGTTAAGTTGGCAGAAAACCCAGTGTTTGGGTTGAACCACAGAAAAGAAAAACTATCCAGTTGTGGTTGATGGCTTTGTCCACACTCTACATATCCCTTCCATGCAGTGCTTGGCTGCCTGCTGTCTGAAGCACCTTTCTGGGTTGGGCCTTTCTGCTCCGAGTCCTGGTGGAGACAGTGTGATGGACCGGTTTCCAGCCTCCCTTGCAGCTAGTGCCTGGAGCATGTGACCTGGACTCCTATCAGTCACATACATCTGCGGCAGACTTTGTTTCTGTTGCTGGTTTTGCAAAGACACAGGGACAGTGGAAAAGCCATTTTGGCAGTGGCTACAGCTTCCTGTTGATAAGGACGGTGGTGACAGTGGAGGGCTCTCAGCATCTTAACTGGCTTAGTTCCTGAACTTGGTTATCTAGCCAGGTGCTGGCTAATCTTTTTATGTAAAAGGCCTGCTGGTAGATAGTACAGGCTCTATGGGACATACGTTCTTTTTTTTTGGAATTGCTCAACTCTGCTGAAAGCAGCCATAGGCTAGAGTTTTGACTAGAGTTTTGACACTAGTCTAGTCTAGTGTTTTGACTAGAGTTTGCCAATCTCTCATCTATCCTATGTAGTGATTTTGGGAGCTGAGCTACCTAATTCTTTTCAATAATTTTTTTTTCTTCTTAAATCAGGCAGAGTAGGTTTATATTGGTTGCCTCTAGGATACTCACTCTTACTTCCAGACTCTTCAGTCCTAAATTACTGTGTACAGGGGCTGTAAAATCCCACCTGGTTTACACAGACACAGGTAGGGGTTGTATCTATCTCCAAAGAGATGACAGCTCTTTTGGGTTAAATATGGCTTACTTCTGACTATCTGCAGTAGATCATTTAATTCTTAACTGTACTTAGCCTCTTTGTTCAAAACCCTTCTTAGGATTACACCCCCAAAACACTTCCATTTGAAACATTTTTTTTTCTCTCCAGGGGATTGCCGTATACCCTTTAATCAGTCTTCCCCAATGGTGCATTCTGTAGGACCATATCAAAACCAGGAAATTGACGTTGTCAAATTCACAAACTTTATTCAGATTTCACCAGTTTTACACATACTTATATATGTGATATGGGTGTGTGTGTGCATGTGTGTAGTTCTGTGCATTTTTATCACACATGTCGATTCATGTAAATCACCATCATAACCAAGACACAGGACTGTTCCATCACCACCAAAATCCCACGTGCTACCCCTTTATAGCCACAGGGAGCCCTCGCCCTCTTCCCTTACCCCTGGCTATCACAGATCCGTTGTCATTTCAAGAATGTTACGTGCTTGGCATATAACTTTTGGGGATTGGCTTTCTTCACTCAGCATAAGCCCCCCAACTCATCCAAGCTGTCGGCACCTTTTCATTGCCGAGCAGCACTCCATGGCGTGGGTGTAGCTGTTTGGCCATGCAGCTCTTGAAGGTCGTTTTGGTTTTTCTCCTCTCGGGGGCTTTTACACATTAAGCTTCGACGCAGAATCATGTGCAAGTTTCGGAGTGCGCCCGAGTTTTCGTTTTTCTGAGGTACATGCCCAAGAGTGCAATTGATGGTCCATGTGGTAAGTGTGTGTTCTGTTTTATAGGAATCAGCTGAACTATTTTTCTTAACTAGGCACAGACAACTTGGAATGGTAGTTTTTGGACAGTTCTCCGGCTTTCATTTTACTCTCATTCAAACCATAATGGGTATTAATTTTCCCCAAACAGTAATTGCAGTTCTCCTACATGCCAGGTATACTAAACACCAGACTTTTCGATTTAATCCTCAGAACTCCCCAAAGAAGGGGCAACACCATCATTTCTGTAGAGAGGGAAACTGAGCCACAAAGTATGTCATCAACCTGTTAAGTCCATCCAGGTCTTTAAGAGGCAGATACAGCAATTCAGACTCTTGACCGCTTTGGAGCTAGCGCCGTTAGCCACCCTGCTAGACTGCCTTTTAAATACTATGGTATGGCCGGTGTTGCTGAGTGGTTGGCTCTTGGGACCCATGCAGTAAGGGTTGCCGGTTTGATTCCGATCAGGGCACATGCCTGGGTTGCGAGCTTGATCCCCGGGGGGGCATGCAGGAGGCAGCTGATCAATGTTTCCCCTCTCATCGATGTTTCTCTCTCTTTCTCTCTCTCCCTTCATCTCTCTGTAAAATCAATAAAATAAAATAAAAAAGCCCCACTGTGTGTTTGATGCACTCGATGTCTTGAGGTGTTCCCTTATCAAGTGACCCGATTCTGATCATGGCTTTTCTTTTTTTTAAGTGCATGAGGAGCTCAGTGTTTGACTGAAGTGATCTGTGCATGGTCACCTGAGAATATTCTAACAGCGGAAGTCGTAAAGGAAACTGTTGTAGGGTATAATGAATCACAGTGGGAATGAAGACTTTCTGAGATTAAAACAATCCCAACAGATACATGTAGCAGTGGGTTTATTACCCATGTCAGGCCCTCATACTGCATCTTATTTGGACTCAATGGCAACCAAACATTCCAGATTCCCTGGCATCTGTAAGGAACCCATCCTTTCCATCCTCGATTGCCTTCATGTGTTCCAGGCACAGTCCTAGGCTCCAATGCAGATAGAAGACACTTAGCCTGCCCCTATCAGGGTCCCTATGTGCCCATAAGAAGGGGGGGCGGGGTTTGAAACTGGGCAGCAAGAGAGTATCCAGGGAAAGAATGAAATACTCCCAACTTATTGTGGTGTAAGAGAAATTTTCTTCTGGAATACACATCTTGAAATTCCTAAATTCTTCTGTCCTGAAACAAAAAGCATTTCATTTTGTGCCAGTAGCTAAGTGCAGGGTGCTTGCTTAGGTTGAGCCCAGGCTAATGTCCCCAGGGGATGCCTGCCCCTCCTCAGCTTTCTGGAGCAGAGCCCGCCCTCCTGACACACTCACTTGGCTGCCATCTGGAATACACTTCTAAAGAGAGGGGGTAGGAATTGTTCTATTAGGTCCCATTACCCTCTGTCGGAAGAATAATGGCATATTGCTTGAATGTTTCCCAAGAGAATGTTTTCATGTGCTCTTTGTGTATTTCAAACTCCAAATGAGAAGACGAGTAATGGTTTGCAGTGGGGGGTGGGGTGGGATTGGGTAGTGAAGTTCCACTTGGAAATTCTGATCTTTGCTGAAGCAATTATTTATTTAAATGAGAAAATAAAAGATGTTATCCTTGAACTGCCTCAGCAAGCCCACAAGTTAAGAACTGCATGCAGGTTCAATATAGTATATTGACGTACTGGTTCAATAAAGTATAGTGATGTGAAGGAGCACCCAGATGTGAGTTTAAAAGAAACTAGTGCCAATTTTGGGGTTCGATCCGAATCACAACAGGGCTTTATTATGTTAAGTTAGTGCAAGGTTCTTTGTCTGTATCTTGACTCCTCAGAAGTAGGTTGTCCTATTTTATATATGAGCAAAGTGACACTTCCAGTTTTACTTTTTTTTTTCAAGATCATATGGCTGGCGACAGCTTGTAATTGGTAGAGCCTGGGGTTTGGTGTTTGGATCCTGCTTTATGTCCCTAAGCCCGTTATTTTAGCCCACGCTCTCTGTTCTGCTTGTCAGATCAGACTATGAATAAAGAACACCCTTTGTAAATAGTAGCCTGAAGGTCCTAATAGACAGGGCACTGGGTTTTACTACCAAACTTAATAAGGTTTCTCTCGCTTTCTGCTTGTCCTTAATTCTCCTCTCTTTTCTAACCAAAAGGGGAAATAAAACCCGAACGCACCAGGGATTTCGATGCCTGCTAATTTTGTGTTTCCCTGCAGAAATATGCAGTGTTACACAGTGAGTGTATGAAGCACACAGCTGTACGCTGCCGCTGAGAAATGTGATGCATGAGAGTTGAAAAGCTGAGTCAAGGAAGCCAAGGGTGGGACTGCATATACCGTAATCCTCAATCACTGAAAGCCAGCGAAGTCTTACGGAAATGGCCATCGCCACGTACCCCGGAACATGAGCGGGAATGTGTAATACAAGATTTTTGTGGAATGAGACTCATGTTTGAAGGGCAGAGTGGGGAGTTCTGCGTAAAACTGCTGAGAAGCAGCCAAAACAGAGCTGAGGAATGATTGAGCCCTGGCCAGGAGAAGGGAAATTTGGCACCTGATTTAACAGGATGCAATAGTTATCCAACCCTGGGATGCATCTGCATTCTCAGGAGGAAGACCATGAGCCTGGGCGTGATGACTGAGTGAGGGAGAAGTTTTGTGTTGGAGGCCATGTGTTTCTAACCAGCAGTGTCCTTTTCTGAGGAATAAATACTTCTGAGCACTAGTGTGAACATTTATTCAAATTAAATAAACATTTCATCATCAAACGCACCATCGAGTTTTATTTGGAAATTTATTAGTGCAGTCATTTCGACTGCTTTGTGTTGTTTTAACTCTTGATTTGCAAATGAGCATCATTGTCAGATGTGAGCATTTGGAAGGGGCTTTTACCGCTGGATTTATGGCTTGCTCTTCTTGTTTACTTTATGTTGTAAACTAATTTTAACTACCAATAAAAGTTGTAGGAATCCTATTTACATCTGAACAATGATTCAGCAGCTTGAACCTATATTTTTGGCTGTGGAGTTGTCTTGTAAAAAGTTTATATGATTCCATTGACTAATGGCTCACACAAATTATACGTGTATCTGTGTGAATGTTTATATTTCTTTCCGCATTGCCCACATTTTTAGAACTGTACGCACCAATCTCAATTGCACGGGTGCATTTGGACATTCTCTGTCTCATTTTTAAAAAAAGAAAAACATAAATTTCTTTATGCTACCATATGGGTGTGTTGCCCATAAGATAAAAATCCCAAAATACTTAACAGACCATCTGGTGTCTTGGTTCAGGGTTTAGTTGATTAAGTTCTTGCGTCCTGATTTCCAGTCTCAGCAGAGGTGATCTTAACCTCTTTGGATTTCTACTAAAAAAATTGTTTCTACTTTGTCTTATTGTTAGATGGCACCAGCCATTCATTTATGTGCTCATGCAGTTCCCAGTTGACTGGTGCTGGCATGTCCTGAACAGGCCTGATGAGACTGGAGGACGAGGCTTTTAGTTCATGGGACACAGCTTTCTCCAGGAGATGGTAACTGGTCCATATGGACATAACCTTCCCTGGATTCACTGGCAGTGAGCTTAAAACTAAACAATTGCCACAAAACATGTCGGGAGTTTTTGAGTGTTTACATTGTACTCAGCAGGTCACCTCGTGTGTGTCTGGGGCAGTGTTAAACGCTTCATATACGTTGTCCTGTGTAAGCCATAGAATCATTAAATAAATAGCACTATAAACTTCATTGTGCAGGTGCCAAGAGTTAGCCATTGGCAGGGCTGATCTTCACGACTATCCGTGCCTGACTCTGCAGCTGGCATTTCCTCCCTGGGTTGGCTCTGTGTTACCTCATGGACAGGACACGTCCTAACTCCTGCTCTGATCTGGGCAGTGCCGGGATTAGGGGTCCTCAGCAGAACAGATGTTTCCCATCTCTGTGGTTGGTAACAAAACATTTTAAGTGCTGCTACTTCTTCTCTTCTCAGATTTATATTTAGGATAGCTTGTGGCTCCTCACATGATGATTTTCATCCATAATACTCTAAAGCAGGGTTTCTCAACCTCAGGACGATTGATGTTTTGGGGCCAGATAATTCTGTTGTGTGGGTGCTGGCCTGTGCGTTATAGGGTGTTCAGCAGCCTTCCTAACCTCTACTCAATAGATTCCACTAGTGCCCCACCTCGTCGGGACAACAAACAGTGTCTCCAGACATTGCCAGATGTTTCCTGGGGGACAAATTCCCGCACTCCTCACCCCAGCCCAGTTGAGAAGCACTGTTCTAAAGTAACTGTTAGCTCTCTGTCACTGGGTGAAGGGTCAGAAGCCTGGCGGGCCCTGCAGAGACTCCTTCTCCCAGGAAGGGAGGTTTACAGCACAACTACCCGATGTCACGGAGTTGGAACTTACATTAACCAATAAATTCCTATTGTAGGATGTTTTATGAACACATGTAAGATAGGGAAAAGGCAGTTTTTAAAAAGTACTGATATGCCCTGGCCAGTGTGGCTTGGAACTTCGTCCCATGCATTGAAGGGTTGTGGGTTCCATCCCTGGTCTGGGTGCATGCAGGAGGCAACCGGTTGATGTATCTCTCTCACATCAATGTTTCCCTCCCTCTTCCTTACCCTCTCTCTTTCTAAAAACAAAACAAAACACACACACACACACACACACACACACACACACGCAAACTAGTAGGTTGTTGAATTGTAATATCATGAACCTGAAACTTATATACATAAAAAGGTAAGAAGAACATTAAAAAATTCATCTCATAATGTAAAAGAGAACAGACTGATGAAGGCCACAGGTGTGGGGATGGGGTCTTGGAGCTGGTGTAAAAGGTGAAGGGATTGAGAAGTGCAAGTTGGTAGTTAAAAATAGTCACGGGGATGGAAAGCACAGCATAGGGAATATAGTCAATAATATCGTAATATCTATGTAGGGAGCCAGGTGGTATGAGACTTATCTGGGAGATCACTTTGTAAAGTATATGACAGTCTAACCACTATGTTGGACACCTGAGATCAATATAAAATAATAGTGAATGTAAACTGTAATTGAAAAATAAAAGTTAAAGAAAAGGGGGAAAATCATATCTCAAGATAACTATGACTTGACATTTTTCTCTTCACCCTTGTAGATTTTTTTTATCTATACATATTATATGTTAGTATAGGAACGACAAGGCATACATCCAGGGATAGAAAAAACATACTACTGTCTATGATGTTTCATAGTCTACCATTTCACTTTATATTGTGAACGTCTCCCATTCCTTTAGGTCCCCTTTTCCATCATGTTTCGTAATGGACAATACCTCTTGTCTGCTATTCTACATAATTTTTTTAACAATTGCAATAGTAGCCCTCCATTAATGGAACAATGCTTATTTTTCTATTATTTGGATGTTGCACATTTAATTTCTTTTCATTTTTCAATGCCTTGATGTATTCTTCAGATACTTATTTATAATGTATTATGTTTCAAACACTCCTGTCTCTGGTAGCCCGATAGAACAAGTGAATAAAACAGACTCCGGCCCTCGTGGATCTCACAGTCTAGCTCCATCCTTGTAGCAACATCATTGCATATGTCTTTGTTTTTTGTTTTTTTGTTTTTTGGGGGGAGGGGGGACTCATTCTGCCTTGCTGTCATATGTGTTGTCTCCTCTGCTCCAGTTTTCTTTGTTCATCTGGGCAACCTCTTCCCAGTGTAAGGAGCCACTGGAGCAGCCGTGGGCAAACTACGGCCCGCGGGCCGGATCCGGCCCGTTTGAAATGAATAAAACTAAAAAAAAAAAAAAAAAAGACGGCACCCTTTTATGTAATGATGTTTACTTTGAATTTATATTAGTTCACACAAACACTCCATCCATGCTTTTGTTCCGGCCCTCCGGTCCAGTTTAAGAACCCATTGTGGCCCTCGAGTCAAAAAGTTTGCCCACCCCTGCACTAGAGTCTGCTTGCCTGTGAAACTCCTCCCAGCTTTCCAGTGAAATCAGCATGACCCAGAATCTTCTAGAAACAGCATGTGTGTGCTTTGTTAACTGGGGAAACTGTCAAGGAACATGTAAGGCTAATTAAGGAATTTAATCTGTTACACAGGGAGTTGACAGAATGGTCTTTTTCTTGTCCTGCTTTTCATGGCTGGCCTCGTGGGAAGCCGGTGCAGCTCTGAGGGAGGCATGGAGGGGGCATGGATGAGATTGTGTGCCTTTCCTAAGTCTTAATGTGCCTCAGGCATAAAACAGCTCTGGCCACCAACACAGGCATCAAGCTAGGATGAACTAAGGACTGTACATCTGCTTTGCCCCTGATTGATATAAGAGCAACACCACCAATCAGGTGTCTCCTTGCCCATTGCCAGGGGGTTTTCCTAAGTCTTTGACCTTGGCAAATTACTGATATCTTTGGACCTCACTTTACTCTTGTGCCTCATAGAGTTGTGAGAAATGGATCTGATGCGTGAGCAGCCTTTGGCATAGGGTCTGGGAAGTGGTGGCCACTCAAGAGAATGGAGACTGCTCTTGTTCCCACCCCACCTTCGGACAGCCCTTTGAGTCATTCTGTGAGTGCCCGCTGTATGCCAGGTACTTGACATGTGTTCTCAGGTCTTTAGCACAGTTGGAGATACATGCAGGTAGAATTTTGTAGTTTTTGCTTTGTATATTTTGAGGTTTGGTCATTAAATGAATATCCTGTATAATAAAAGGCTAATATGCAAATTGTCCCCTTGACTGGGAGTTTGACAAGGGGGCGGGGCTGGCCAGCCAACTGCCTGTGGCCCCTCCCCCTGGCCAGCCCCACCCCTGATTGCCCCCCCTCCCACCCATGGGGCAGACCGGGTGGACCCCACCCATGCACGAATTTATGCACCAGGCCTCTAGTACATTTATAATATCTTTCTGGTCAATTCACCATTCTATTCTGGGTTCTTGCATTGGTTTAAACTTCCTGCTAGTGACTTCATGGAGGGTTCTTCCATGCTTTCTTATCAGCTTGTCAAGATGTGGTGACAAGATACTCGTCCTGCAAGTGGGATGGTTGAGTATTTGTCCCACGCCAGGTACGTCCAGAGTCGCACATGGACACAGCACTGCCTCTCAATGACAGGAAATAGATATTAGTATCTCTCCCTCCATTTCTCTTTATTTCATCACTGATTATTGCCTTCCCAGCATCCAGCCACATTTGCACATTACATTTTCATTTGTTTGTTGATCTGTTCATGATCTTCCTTTACTCTGTGGATTAAAGTGAGGTTGACAGGGACTGTTTCAGTTTTATTCATCCTTATATTGTACGGTCCTGGAACAGTGCTGGCACTTGGTTGGTGCTTTGAAATATGGATTGAACAAATTTTATTATTGAGACACCTCAGTCAAGAAGGAATGTCAGTTATATGCAATTGTTTTTCTTGAAGATATATTCAGGCTGGTAAGTGCTAATGGATAATTGCATAATTTGGCAATTTCACTTTAAATATTGATATCGTTTATTGCATGAACCTGGGTACTTCCTTTTTTTTAAAAATATATTTTATTGATTTTTTACAGAGAGGAAGGGAGAGGGATAGAGTGTTAGAAACATCGATGGAGAGACATCGATCAGCTGCCTCCTGCACACCCCCTACTGGGGAGGTGCCCGAAACCAAGGTACATGCCCTTGAAAGGGAATTGAACCCGGGACCCTTCAGTCTGCAGGCCGACGCTCTATCCACTGACCAAACCGGTCAGGGTGGTTCTTCCTTTTGAGTTTGTGTTTCCTGCTAAAAAGTTGAGGTGACACAGAAGTGGCCTTAGGCTTTGTTATTGGCAAATGTAGAATTAAAATGTTTCTATAGCCCATAATTTACATGTGCGTAACTAAGAGCTGACTATTCCACAAAGTAGGGGGTGGGTTGGCTGAGTCTGTACAAAATTCTTGAATATTGAAGACATTTTCCTTTGTTTCTTTTCTTTTCTTTAAAT